TCCTCTCGGCTGCGGCTGCTGTGGAGGTAGTAGCGGGCTGCCACCGCTGCTGCGGGGGCTGTGGGGGTAGTAGTAGTGGTAATCCTACTGCTACCTCCACGGCTCCGGGACAGCTGCTCCCGAGACGTCCGTGACGTCACTGCTGTAGTGGTGGCAGTCTGCTACTACCTCCACAGTTACCACAGCTTCGAGCTAACTAGGTGTATGAAATCAAGTAAAATGTAGTAGTCATTTTTTATTCTTTATTGTTTTAAATCATTTACATTATAAGAGTAAAGTCTTCCTCAAGTAGCCGGCTTGTTTCTGCTGGTGACTTGGAGCGAATCTGAATACCTGAAAAAAAAAGATAAAAATCTAAGTTAACTTCAAATTATCTCAGAGTTCAAATCAAACGTATTCTGGTCCATATGTATCACTATGACGCCAGCTCATTGAATGAAATTTCTGTTACAGGTGGCCAGCATCAAATCCAGGCACATCCCTTTTGACAAGAAGCAGCATCACTTCTTATTTTACAACAATTGTACCATACAAATGAAATAAATAGCAGCATTACTGTAAGTGACACTCTGATGATTTGCCTCTTCCACTTCCCCCCACTAAAATCAACACACAACTACATATTTTAGGATCAAGTAATAAGCCGTATTATATGGGGGGAGCATAGAGACAGTAAAGATATGACAAGAGACCCCCCAATAGACACAATTACCAAATTAAACTTTTATCTATCTATGACTCTAACACATGTATTTATATTTTTTTTGATAACATTACATAAAATTAAAAAAAAGTCAAAACTTACCAAATTCATTCCTGAGATCATGAGAAAAAGGGGCCATTTCTCATGCTGTGTGCTGTGACGATGACTAAGTCTTCCTCAAGTAGTCGCCTTGTTTCTGCAGGTGACTTGGGCCGAATCTAAATACCTGAAAAAGAATGAAAAAATCCAAGTTAAATTCAAATTATCTCAGAGTTCAACTCAAACGTGCTCTGCTCCATCTGTATCACTGTGATGCCAACTCATCGAATGAACTTTCTATGTTACAGGTGGCCAGCATCAAGTCCAGGCACATCCCTTTGGACAAGAAGCAGCATCACTTCCTATTTTACTACAATTGTACCATACAAATGAAATAAATAGCAGCATTACTGTAAGTGACACTCTGATAATTTGCCTCTTCCACTTCCCTCCACTAAAATCAACACACAACTACATATTTTAGGATCAAGTAATAAGCCGTATTATATGGAGGTAGCATAGAGACAGTAAAGATATGACAAGAAACCCCCCAATAGACACAATTACCAAATTAAACTTTTATCTATTTATGACTCTACCACATGTATTTATATTTTTTGATACCATTACATAAAATTAAAAAAAGTCAAAACTTACCAAATTCATTCCTGTGATCATGAGGAAAAGGGGCCATTTCTCATGCTGTGTGCTGTGATGCCAACTCAGCATACATCGGGTGACACATAGGCTGCTTAGCTGATGTCGAGCACAGATGCAACTATTGGACAGTCTTCCTGCAATAATCACAAAAGGTACCAGCATTCACAGAAACAAGATAAAGACAGAATTTTGGTGCACAGGTATCACAGTGACATCAACTCCTCTCTGGACTCCTTACAGTTTCAGGTAGCTGCATAACATTGACGTGCCATGCTTCGAAAGCACTGCCCAGGACAAACAATGTCAACTCAATGTCAAATCTCAAATGTTCACAGGTGGAATATAATAAATATTCATGCACTTTTAACTCTGTTTCCATAATATTTAGATTACATTCGTTTCAGGAGTAATGAGAAAAAGCATTCCGTTAGTACAAACTGGAATATTCCCGCCTTTCAGTAGTAAAAAGCAATAAAAAGTGATAATATTTGATTGTAAGATTTCATGAAAATGAATAAACTAAAACTTAGCGGTTGTAACAACAACTGGGTACCTACCAAAAGGGGCATTCACTTTTTTGCACAGGTACCTTTTGTTGGATGAAAGTGATACATTAATGGCACAGGACAATGGTTCTAATATTTATGCGTTTTCCGTCGAAATTTCACGCCACATTAATGGCACAGGACAATGGTTCTAATATTTATGCGTTTTATTAGAAAATACTGATTGGTTAGATTGTGGTTACATTTAGTAGAAGGATGTAGATTCACCATGTCCGATATCTCTTATGTAAGAAATAAAAAGTAATCAATTCTACCTACTTACATTTGTTAATTTTATTGTAAGACCTTTGCAACAACAGCAGTGGCAATTTTTCTCTTTCCCTCTCTCTCTCTCTCAAATCTTGTGCAACTTGTATTGGAAACATTATCCCAATGAGACAAAACATACGCCAATAAGAAGAACAGAACTTGCTCTATTGACTATATTGATTTAAAATTTTATCATGACACTATAAAAAATCACTGTTTTCAAGTACTGGATGCAAAGGTCTACTAGTTCAGAACCAATATGTCATTTTAAAGCCTGAAGAGTCAATAGGGGTTTCCATTGTACTAGCTTGTCTGACAAGTCTTGATTTTGAACCTCTACTGCCCCTGACAGACATAGACCGGCGTGCAGCCGAATCAAAAGATCGATTCAAAGGTGTCAGAGGCGAGTCTTCTTGATCTGGAGGGCCAGGTAATTGAAGTGCAGTTGGTAGTGTTGCCAGTTCAAAATTTTCTGACACATCACACAAATCGTCATACGACTCCTTAGCAACTGGTCTGGAAAAAATAAAAATAAAAGGGAATAAATTGAGAAGCAGAAATAAATTTGTTGGAAATCAAAGGCAGAACTTCAAAAATTTACCTCTTCGGAATACACTGAACACAGTCAGCCATGCTCCAGTCTTTTCCAAATTCTTCACCCTCCTCCACAGTCTGGGGCAAACTGTGATGCAGTGTCTCTGGAAGTCTTAATCCAGTAAGTCCACCAAGCACAGATATAGCTCCCATTATAACTAGAGGCAGTACTAAATTTTCCCTTCCCTAAAAGTAATGGTTGTTTGTTAATGACTGATTACATTTTATTATCAAAGAACGAAATCTTCATATAAATAACACAATACACACCAAATATGTAATAAATGGTATCAAAATTAGACCAAGGCCAGCTATGTAACCTGAAGCTCCAATTCCAACACCCCTCATCTGGGTTGGATAGAGTTCGCCAGCAAATGGGTAGATAATTAAAAATGAAGCCGAAATAGCAAATTTAGAAAATAAGTAAAGCACTAATGTGGCTGTGACAGCATCTGGAGGAGTTACAAAAATTTATGAAACAAACAGTAACATATTTTTCATTGGTGAGCATACACAGAACTGTTGCAACACAAACCTTCTGGCAAAAGGACTGTGACAATACAGCTTATTCCACTGAGTATCATACAAATTGAAAGGGGCCATCTTCTACCCCACCAATCCATGACAACCCAGCATGCCAAGTAGCTTGGAATTTCAACTAATGATGACAAAAGGAAACTTAGGTACTCATTATTTCCTAGAGCTGGCCCATAATAGCTCAGACCAACATACACCATGTTATTAGCAAACCTAAAAAAAATAAAATGAAAATATAGGTAAAAAAAATACACTTACTGCAAAAAGAATGAAAAGATAAATAATATGCCACTTGACTCACCAGTTCAGTGTGATGAGGGTAGTTTTCAGACGCATATTAGGGGTTTTGCATAATGCAAAAACACTGGGACCCTCTTTAAGTCGCTTTTCTTCACTTTTAGTTCGATGTAGCATCATTCTTTGCTAATGAAAAAGGAAATTGGTAGGTCAATTAAAAAGCAATTAGCAAAAACTAATGTGGAATTTTAAAAAAAATTGGTTTAGCTAGAGAACGTACTTTCAACTTTTGTTTAAAGCTTTCAGGAAGTTCATGTTGATTGACTCTTGCTAGTGTCTCCAGCACCTTTGAAGCCTCCTCTAGACGACCTTTGGCAAGAAGCCAGCGAGGTGATTCAGGAAGAAACCTTGACAAAAATTTTGCTTATCAAAATAATTCATGTGCCTGGTGTGAGTGTGTACACCACTAGACACATTTATTCAAATTTATGTAACTTACCACCAGTATATGAAGTACACCAGAAATGGTAATGATGTAGCCAGTGCAAGAGTGACCCAGTTACGCACTAAATAAGTCACCCCCGCTAGGAGAACCAGCCCCAAAGTGTAGAAAAGACAAGTCATAACAGTGACAAACGACCTGTAATTTGGGCCTACTAATTCCAATGCTGCTTGGAGGCAACACACAAAGGAAGTGAGGCAAAAGGAAATACATACAAATAAGTTGAAACCAACACAAAGAGCAAAGTACACATAAATGAATATCAACATCGCTCACATATAATAAAGGGAATTTGGTAGATAGCAGGTATTGTGAGCCCCACGACAATTCGTGAGACAGCCCAGGACCAAAACTCAGGGGCTGCTGCAGTAAATATACTTCCAATAATCAAAGTTGCCAGGCAAAGGAAAAAAGACAACCTTCTCCCAAGTCTGTAGAAAGAAATGAGATGAGATGGAAGTTACGCTATAAACGAGGTGGATTGTACATTTGTACACTCACCTATCATTAAGAACGCCGAACAAATAAACTCCTACTGGTCCTCCTGTATTGAGCGCAGCAAGTCCTATAGTAGGGTAGATATCTTTACTGCAAACTAAATCGAACTGAAAAATTTATAACAACTTTTAAAAGACTTCAGATATACCAAAATTTGTTTAACTCAATGGATAATTAGTAAACAAAGAAATAAAGACAAAAACAATACACACATCAATGACAATTGAGGAAGTTATCTCGGATGTGTCATACTCCCATCCATCATAGCAAGGCTCTGTCGCCCAGGATGAGTTAGGCTCTAAATCATAAGGAGACATGCTTTTTAACAAAGCAGTCCAATTGACAGAATAGCGAGCACAGCTTCTGTAGGTGCCGTTTGGCCCATCCTGGTAAAAACAAGAAAAATTGAGTACACTGCACAAAGTTCTTGAGCGTGTGTAGAATATTGCAAGAAACTTACTGCAGGTATAGAGAGCATTTTTCTGTGCTCTTGTGAGATGTTGGGCAGTACATTTTCTAACTCCAAGTTTCGACACCAATGAGGTGGAGTGTCTGCCATGAATAGCTGATTGAAAGCACAAAATCCACAAGGAATGCAGGCAGGCAGACACACAAACCAAAGAAGTATCTTTTGGTACCGCCCAAACTCTCCCACCTGTGGAAGTAGGTCATCCAGATCCATCTCCTAATTGAAAAGCAAATAAATATTTAATAATACTAAATGAATATTTAAAGCAGAATAATTTAAAAAAAAATTATGTGAAGGCCACATTTAACAGCATAATCTAGAGGAATACATTTGTCATTTGTAACTGGAATTAGATGACACTAACACAGTGAACATTTGTGGTACAATAGAAATCATTATTGGAAATCTCTAAAGATGCAGAAAAATAATAAAACTTCCCAAGGATCAGTTACAAAAGATTCCAGAGGCCAACATAGTTTCTTAATTGTGCCAAGTTCAGTTTTGGTTGTTACACCTGCCCAGTGAAAATTCGGATTGGACTTCTTCCTGGTAACTTGGTGTAAAACAATTTTAATAAAAGAGAAAAATATCACAAATTCAGCGCACTCTACATCCAACTACAGCAATTTTATAGCCTGCAGTGAAATTGAATAAATCGCCTCTGCTCTTAGTAGGCGGGGTACATACAAAAAAAAAAAAAAGGAAAATTGAAATGGACTTTATCTGTTGAAGTGTTTGATACACTTCCAAGCCTTACCTTGCTGGGCTGCCTGTGCAGCGCCAAGCGCTTCTTCTCCTCCTCGGTGAGTCCCCTGCCCTGGATGACGGGGTCGTGCTGCCGCTGCTCGGGCGACACCAGGGCCTCCTCGGCCGCGGCGCCGTCGCCACCCTCGCCGTCGTCCGCCCCCGTCATGGTCGCGGGCGTCGCGGGCGTCGCGGGCGTCGAGGACGGTCGAGGACTCTCCTCCTAGGCGCGCTGGCCGGGGCGCAGAGCCTGGCCGGGACAGCACGGGCCGGGCCAAGACATGACGGGACAGGAAGCCCGCCAAGTGGGGCCGAGGATCGAACACCCTGCCGGGGCTAGGGCCCCGCTCGCCATCATACGTGCCTTGACCCATCAGAGTAGGGGACCCCGCCGGGCCCTGGGCCCGGGCCCCCGCCATGAGCCCGAAGCTCCGCCCAACGCCTGCAAAGTGATAGTGTCACGTTACACTCCGTCGCCCCCCGCACCACCTCGGCTACTTGGGCTGTCACTCTTTCTTCGTCCTCGCACACTGGTCACTTACAATTTTCCTCAGACGTACAACCACCGGTGATTTAAACACCAAAGTGTCCCTCCCCGTCTCCTAGGGCTGGGTATACCGAAGCATAGCGTTTACACCATTCCATCCCCTAATTTTCGCGCTCAAGTTTATCAGGGGCAAACATAACGTGACGGTCGAGCAAGGTGCGGTTCTAGTAAGCTTCTCAAAATAAGGGGAGATGAAAAATAATACAGCAAGAGTTTTGAGTATGGATTTAATTAAGGATACAGAACAGATCGTCATGTCTATCCTTGTGCCACAGCCCTCAGCACTTTGGTAATAAGTCACTGGAAAATTTTGCCCTAAAACTAGACAATTTAAACAAAGAAGAAAATAACACTGAGGACCTCTACCTGTGAATTGGCACCTAATGACAAGAACCATATGTATGTGGAAAGTAAAAGGGCTAACAGAATTTTAAAAAAAGATGAAAGGACGGGCAGGCATACCATCATTTTGATCGACTCTCAGTCATGGCACACAAGAAATACCAGTCACTCAAGTAATTTAAAAAAATAACATGCTCTCAAAATTTGATTTTAATTCATCAACAATGAAAATGTTTGCCATAAACATAATTTGAGAAGAGGCTGAAGTGTATAACACTAACATAAAAAGAACCACATTTACACAGAATCATCCAACATTCAGTCAAAGAGAAAATAGATTCACTCAAAATCTCATTTATTGCTCATTCATTCATTCATAGGACACAAACACTCACAGAATCATACATTTCCATTGATACAATGCAAACAATCATGCCTTTAGAAGGTCTCCTGGACACTTCCACCAGCATGAATCTCTCACACATTTACAAGGGACGCATGTTATCACACAGTCAGGTATAATGAGAGCGTCTGAGCAGGTTCACCACAGTTTGAAGAGCCCGCCCCTCAACCTGTTTAGAATATCCATTTAAAATGGGAACTCAATTCCCTAATTTTATCTGGACCGAAAAATCAGTCAAGGCAGTTCAAAATTGTTCAATTTTGTGCCAAAATGTGCTCAGACACCCCCAAATCACAGTTACTTTACTTCTACACTTCCTACACTTACAGGTATGTCAGGGTTAAGTCAACAAGTTTCACAGTGCAACTGTCAGTAGCCGCCTGCCAGTTGTCTCCACCACAGGAATGGTAATTTGTAGCTTAGGACTATTTACCACATCATTCATTACAGTACGTAGTATACAAATCATTCACAAAGCATCAGTTCTGTCAAACACAATTTAAAAGAAAAAAACAAACAAATTGCAACGGAACTGAAGGGGATAAATGTAATCCCAGCTTTGTTATCAACTCATCATATGGAAGAAAGCAGGGAACTGAGCAAGAGACAAAAATCTCTTCAATCAGAAAACAGAGAAGAAAAAAAAATGCAGTAAATAAGCAGCAATACTGGTTACTAACGTAGGATTATTGAAGGGTAATTACTGGTTTTAAGTGAGCAGGCACTGTGTATAAATGAAAATAAGATGGACACATTCAGGTCATTGATTAACAGACATAAAAATTTAGATTGATTGTAAAAGAAAACCTTAACATTAATAAATAACAGCAATACCCAATGATAAAACAAAAATTACAGTTCCAAATCTCAGTTCTGCAAAGTAATGCCTATCTCTGAAATCAGTACTGCTGCAAGAGACATCTAGAGTTTAGCACCTCCGATGGAGGATTAAGGGGAATGTAGTCCACAGCACTAATTCAAAGCACGGTAACAATAATGACCAGCAGATATGTGAGTTGCAAATGCAACGAGCATTTTCCCCTTGTGCCTTCCACTGGCTGGGTGTTTGCCAACTTACACTATAATTCCTGAGAATGAAATTGCATAACATTTAACTTAACCTGTTTGCTGCCAAAGCAATGGCATGCAAAAAAAAGTTTCCACATTCATTCAAATATTGTCAGTTGAAGAAATATCTTGTGTTTCTGGAAAATTTCCTCTACATTAAAAAAAGAAAAAAGAAAAAAAAACACAGTCTTCATGTAAAGTCTTGCAGTCGATAGTCTTGAGTCCACTAATTCACTCTCACATGCACACTTACAAGTGCGTCCCTCAGCCCTTGCACACCTTCACTCTCACTCACACTTCACGTTGCTTCTTGTAGTCACTGTACACACTGTTGCAATGAAGCACCAACTCGCACCGATATGTTCATTCACCCAGTCGAGACTTCAGAGCATGGAGGGGTTGCAGTTTAAGTCAACCAAAAAGAGGATTATAACGAATGAGAGAAAGAGAATTTGCCTGATTGTCTTCTGGCTTGTTAATACGACCTACGATGCATCTGAAAAAGGAAAATTACTTTGTCAGGATTGAAAAGGTAATGCTTAACCCCCAATGAATTGAGCAAACTCCTCTCCAAAAAGTTGAGTGCAAAACTCAAATAGTGAGATGAAATTTTGGAATTTTAATTATATTTTCTAATAGTATAGCAGTTCTTTTCCTTTACAAATGTGTCTGAAGCTAAATTGCACTGTCTACAAGAATGTCTGCAACCAAGCAACTGAGCCTTGTAAGTAGTGTGGAAGTCATAAGACAACAATTTCATCCCCAGAGCAGAGTCACACATCACACAAGCATACATGTCATTCAACCACTCGGACAAGCACACCTTTAGGCAACAAATTTTTTGTGTCAGAAAGGGTACTAAACCAATGCAGGAAAAATAGCATTGAGTAAATTCTAGCCTAGTTTATATTTATAGTTAAATAGGATTTAAAAATATAAGTCCCAATGTCAAAAGGCTTTATGAAAGATGTTCCAAATAATGGCAATGTAGACAATTAGGTTGAATTTTGATAGCATAGCATGTTAGTTAATATGCAAGTGCCGCACAATTAGAGAAAGAATTGAAGATGCAAAACTCACCAGCTTGCAGCTGCTGCCTTGAACTTGCGGATTTCTTTAGTAGCCCACGTCGCCAAGGTCTTGGTTTTGTTAACCTTGGACCGGCGGGCAGATGTGAGAAGCTCGTTGATGGGATCCACATCCAACAGGTGGAGGATTGTTGCTCCAAAAGCATTACATAAGTCACTGGAAAAAGACAAAAGTTGTTGAGACAGCGAATACATTTAGAGCACAACACATTTACTTGCACATGCCACACTCACCCAACAAGACCAGCACAGGATGCAACACAACCATCAGAGTGCTGACTGTCCTGAGCAACAACTACGATGAATTGAATAATGAAGGGTACAGTTGGCTCTAGGATATGGATATCTGGAGAGGGAGTTTCAGAGTCACCCTTCAAGCCCTGAACAATGCCAGTATATGCTTCAAGCACACCTTCTCGAAGCTCATTCAACCATTCCACAAGATCATAGTCATTCTGTTGGTATAGAAGATAAGTAGATGAGTGATAATGATTGATTTAAGTATTATTAGGAGTACAGAGTACAGATTACAGATTAACACATACATTGTCAACAGTAGCTTGAGATGCCTGTGAAAGTGTTCTGAGAACAACTTCCAGATATTTCTTAAACTCCGGTCCAATGCTGAGAGCAACATCTCCGAACACGGACAGAATTTGAGGCTTAACAGAGCGATGAACATTATTATCCTGAGAAAAATGAAGAGAGAAAATAAGATAAGGAATAACAAAGAAAATACAACGAACAAGGGGGAAAGCTGATGCAAACTAACCCCAAGGTTCTCCAGGAGAAGTGTCATAATTTCATCACAGAAAGGCAACACTTTCCCCTTCAGGGAACGGCAAATATCACCAGTCAAGCCAACAGCTGCTCCACACACCTGATAAAAAATATGAAACTGTTTCTCTTTTTCGGAACAAGAATGCTAAAAATAGAATGTTAAGACAGATTACAATACCTGGTGTTCCATGTGATTTTTCAAACCCATGCACAGGTAAGGCTTGAAGGCATCCATGTACTTTAAGAATCCTTCACCAAGGACTTCAACTAAAGTGGATACAGCCATAAGGGCATCTTCCTGTACCCCACCAGATCTGCATGTATTGGAAGCGAACATTTGCAGAAGAGCAGTCATGATGGCATCAGAAATTTGAGGAGCATCATCAGGAGCAACCTTCCGCAGCACACTTTGAAGAGTTGCACAAAGCAAGCTTTGCAGATCGTTGTACTGAGCGCGATCATGGCTTTGGATGTGGGATTCCATTTGGAGTACTTGGTTCAAGCGCTCCAAAATAACCATAGTAGTTTTCTGTACAGTGACATAACAGTCTCTGGGGGAGTTCTTCACCATCTCCATCAAAGCCTCATAGGCTGCAGAGCGCAGGTTGGCCTAGTCACACAAACAAAATTTGAAATTAGCTATAAACTTAGGAGGAAATTATAAAGCGTTTGCAGACCTCTACATACTTGTGCACCATCAGGGCGATCTGTAGTCTCAAGCAGCTGCTGAACAATGAATTCAAAGTATTGAGACAGGCAGTAGGTTTCTGGATTTGGATCATCAGAGCCATCAGCAGCTTCATATGCAGCTTCAGCCAGTCCAGTAAAAGCCCAGCAGACATTGGCAGCAACCCGAGGCTCAGCTTTCAAACCATTCACAAATGCTTCCAAGAGGGGCTTCAAGTAAGTTTCATTGATGGCAGCATCAGGAATAATTTCACAAACTCTACCAAAGGTCCAAGCGGCTGTGTCCCTTACGACAACACTGCCATCATACATAAGCTTGATGAGAGTAGGCATTGCTTGTTCGACCAATGGCTTGAGATTGGAGGGATCCAGTCCACCAAGAATTGAGCCTGAAATGGGAAATAACAAATTTAAGAGAAATAACACAAACAGGTATTTGATAAAACAAAACAAGGAGGCATGAATAGAAAATTACCAAACGCCATAAGGGCAGCATCGCGGAAGCGCCAATCCTCACTGGTGATGTTCTCCTTCACAAATGGCAAAACATGTGGAACAATGTCATCTTCACAACAAGTGGCTAGAAGCATCAAACAAACACCTGCTGCCTTGCTAGGATTCCAATCATCTTCATCATCAAACTCTTCCTGTTTAGTGAGCTTTTGCATGAGAACAGGGCATAAAAATTGCAAAGCTCCTTTTGCATAGAACTTGGAACACCTAGTTGGTGGTCTTCCTGCCTCCACTGCTTCACTCTCTTCAATTGCTAAATCTACCTCTTCATCACTTACATTAGACCAAAATTCAATACCTTGCAATGCTACCTCATCATTATCGCATTTCATTGCTTCTAAAGTTATCTGGAAAAATAAGTAATAGCATTAGATTAGATTAAAATAAAAACTAAACGCTAACTTTGGAGCAGCTGAGATGAGTTGAGATTAATACTTACTGGGAACAAGGCTTGACCCATATATGGTTCCATATATTGATAGTACAGGGACATAATTTTTACTAAACATTGCAGCGCAGCAACTCTGACTTGGATGTCTGTGGATTGAGTGGCTTCACAAACGACTTCCATGATATAATTACGCTCAGACTGAGAAAAATAAGACATTAGAAATTGTTCAGACATGATGCATCATAATCAAAAGATAGAGAAAGTAATACCTCTTTGTCAAAGTTGGCACGAGTGAATTCTAAAGAATTGTGAAGAGCTGTAGTGGCTGCAAGTCGTACATGGTTGCTGGGTTCATTTTGACGCATGCCATGAATGATGGCAGTTAAAATCATATTGGATTGTTCAACTAAAACATCATGATCCTGAAAATATTCATTAGTGAGAAATGTGTGCACACAGAAAATAAAGAATTTTGAGTTTTACAAAAACTTACAATTTCCTGACAAATGTAACCAATTGCCTCCAAAGTAGCCTCTTTCATCATTTCAGTACTAGTGCCACCAATTACATTTGATACAAGAAGAGGTATTAAATCTTTCCACTGGCCAGCTGGCAATTCTGCTACAGCAATATAAGCCACACATTGTGCTGCTGAGCTCGGCCGGTTGTTTTCAGTGCCTAATGCACCAAGAACCTGAAAAAATTAATTAAATAATAATAATCATACATACAAATTTTTCAAAATTGGTTAGGGTAAAAGGACCAACAAAGAGTATCTTACATTGTTTTTAACATAAGTCCTAATCTCCTCAGGGAAAGCAAGCCACCGCTTCTGATGCTGTTCTTTCAGATCTTGGACTTTTGACGTGAGCGTATTCTTGAAATGAAGACCAGCAGCCATACGGGCAACCTGGCTATTTCCTCCATGGTGTAGAATCTCAGACAAGGTTTTGACAAACTCCGGCTGTAACAATACAAATAAGAATGTGAGTAGACAAAGCAAAAAGATGAATTATGACAAGAATAGTTAAAATAGAAAACACTTTTCTTACAAGGTTTGTCCTGGCTGCCTCTTCCAAGAACGCCTCTGCAGCTTCTCGCTCATTTTTGTCTGGAAGGAAAAAAGGAGTTCTACATATCCTTGCGGTTCACAAATAGGTTTAAAAAGGTGCACATAGATAAGATGAAAATGTTTTCAATGATTCAAATACGGCACGGGATTGAAACAAAAAAAAGTTAGGTTGGATGAAAGATATTCATTGACCGAATGGAAGTGGCACTGATGGTGGACGACAAATTTGAATGCAACACACCGGACGACGTCAATGGCGCTCAACCGAATGTGGTGAAGGTTAGGTCATGAACTGATTCGCACAGCATAATGACGGAAAAGTAACCTGTTTCAATGGATTTCTTTTAAAACTACACGGAGGGGAAGGATTTACTACTGAATTTCGCAAATCAATTCGGTAAAGACAAAATTAGCAAGTGTTGAGGGCATGGAAGCGCGCTAGGAAAAGTTAGGCGCGCTTAGGCCGGATAGGTTAGAACTTCGTACAATGAGATGCGGTTTACGACAAGACAGTCATTCAAAACTAACGGGAAGAGCAAGATTTGAAAGCAGGGCAGGTCACACGTGAATGGGGCCACAAATTAAGTGCGCAACCAATCCGTAATTTCTCTAGAATGTAGTTTTATGATGGTGACCGTTATTGCCTCACTGACATTAACCCAATAACAACGCCAGAAAACAGAAAGGAATGAGTATTAACATGGCAAGGGAATGAAGTGAGCGAATGAAGGTTTGTGAAGAAATTCCAGGGATAGGCGTACATAGAGAGAAAAGGGCGAAATCAATGATCGATTGAGCTGCTTAGGCTTATCGCAGAGACCACGTTCATTGTTCCCAGATCAAGGCAAAACTTTTGATGGACGTAATCTTTCGGATCGACGTAAACAAATAACTCACCTGCAGATACTGTCTTCTCCAAGATTTGAGTGAGATGAAGTGTTGCTTCGGGATTCATTTTCGCTGTTAAAAAGGATTCTATCAAATTTCTACAATGGTCCTACCACTAACCGGCTATCGGCCATATGCTTTCTGGAGACAACTGGTGTATCCTTGCCCTTACTCTTCGAACTCCGTTGAACTCGCGGGCTCAGCCAGAGCAAAGATCAATTTTAAAAATTTCGAGACGTCACAAAAACATAAAATTTGTTGTAGTGAACGACAAAACAAGCCATGAGGGGCGGGCAAGTGTCAACAACTTTCGTACAGGCTTGGTAGAGGCGGGACTATTTTCAAACGCGGACGGTAAGCGTGAAATGTGGTGACTAAACGTGCACCGGTTCCACCCGCCAATACGCCACTTCGACGTTTGACCGCTAGAGGGCTGTCGTGTTCTGACGTCATCTGACGTCAGCGGTTTTAAACTCGGAGTATGGGTAGAGACGCTTCCGGTGACTTTCGCGCCACTATCGTGGCTCACCCCCCAACCCTAGCAAGTGACCGCGCCTGGTCAGTAGGATGGGTGGCCTACCACCTAGGCGCCTCATGCGGATTCTTTGGCGTCTAAGGCCTGATGTAATCTCTGATCCCTGGTCTGGGTTTTGACCGTCACTGGGTAAATGAGGAAACATGAACAGTAGCTCTGTTTTACTTAAACATTTGTTTTATTTTGGATTTGAAAACCTTTTACCAACAAAACAATGCCATTTTCCAAGTCATTATACATTTTTAGCATTTCAAAAATGTTGTTTAACTATTTAAAGAATGGAAAATACCAACAAATTTTTCCTGATAAACAATTGATTAATATCATGACATGTCAACTGTATTATTGAAATTTACTGTCAATACTTAATGATTAAGTTCACTTTTACAGTGAAAATTGCTCAGTCATTTCAAAGGTTTATTGACCTGAAAATCACTGTAAAGAAATCAATAACATAAAAAATACTGCATGAACACCACAACAAGCTTTACCAAATGCTGAATCACTAAAAGAATCGCAGTCACATCACTGAACTGTACTAGCTGTGTAAAGTACAGGATCTTTTATTACATTACATCTTTGAGAGCAACATGTTGAATATTTTACTTTTCTCAATCCTTTGGAGGCAGTGTATTTTAACTTTCATGATTCTTAACTGTTCTGAATTTACCAGAGCTGAAATCAACAAAACTATAATCTAATAAAAGTATTTTGGCACGTTCTTACAAAAAATTGGAAATATCTTGAAAAATATGTTATGATGTAAAACTATATGAAGGACTGGGTGAAAACTCTTAATTATATTGAAACGGCAATAAGTTTTTCCCATCTTGTACAATTGGCCTGATTTTCTTTGTTGTTGCTCTACCTACCTAATGTGTGTTTTACCAGGTTCATTTACAGCTAGGTGTGGTTACAATTTTCAAAGCATTCTGAAATGCTGTACGGAGAAAGTAAAACTTGAATAGGAATGTACCAGTCACAATAAAAATTCAATTCACTCAAAGCTGGAAGCAATGTATCCCCAACTCAAAGGCAGGAGATTACATGTTGAAGACCACATTAAAATTGTCTGTCCAGTTGTGCCCGATTTTGATGATTCATATCTTTTTAGGCAGTATTCTTTTTTTAAATTAAAATAGGAAGTTGTGACACTCATTTTGCACAAACATACTTTTGCTCATTAACACTCTCCAAAAATAAAAACTAATAAATACTATATACTTTAGAGAAAAATGTCTTTTTCATGAGCAAACTTGATTTGGATAATGTTCCTTGCACTTCTTTCATGTTACAGTTTGTCCAACGAGTACTCCGACATACACTGAAAAATCATGAGGAGTTGATTTTTTTTGGCATCACTTAAAGAAGTGTAACACATTAGTCGTATGATGTCTGTTGTACGGAACATTCTTCTCAGAAGGTGCAACCGCAACTTCACTCAAACGAAACAAGTTAGTCGCAAGGGCAAATCACAGGCCTTCAGCTGACACAGCTCAGGCTCTTCCCACGAGTTTGCCTATCACAAACACTAAACACCTTTAACACAAATAGCTTTCACTTAGAAGTCTTGTGCGTCATAAAACTGTCTCTTCACCAAACACTTTATAAAATAAAAATGAACATAATAAAAAGGGCGGCGCTTCAGACTGAGATCTCCTGGATGTGGACCCGCTTCTTGGTGGAGCCGGGGGTGGAGGGGCAGCCTTGGGACCTGAGGATGCCGAGGCTGTTGCACAGCTGGCTGGACGGAGGCTGCCCCTTGGGCGGCGGCGGCGGGTCGGGTATGCACGTCTGCGAGCCGTGCACGCTGTTCAGCGCGCTCCCCGCCGCCATCTCCACCCCCGCCAGGCTGGAGCACGAGCCCAGCATGGGGCCCATGGGCGCCAGGGGACCCAGGGGCCCCAGGGGCCCCAGGGGTCCCGGGCTGGGCCCGCGGCTGGCCCCGACCGCGGCGATGGGCCGCTTGGAGCCGGGCGGCGGCGAGCAGTTGAACTCCTGGAGCGGCATGTCCAGCATGGGGCTCGACGCCGTGGCGCCCAGGCCCGCCATGCTGGCCATGCTCGCCATGCCGCCCATGCCCGACGCGGCCCCGGACGGCATCTCGTCCACGAGCGCGGCCAGCGCGTGCTTGGTGTCGAGGTGGTGGCCGTCGCCCGAGCTGCTCGAGCAGCTGTCGGCCAGCTCCTCCTTCTTCTTGCGCTGCTTCTTCTTCTTCTTCTCGGCCGCGTTGGACCGGTCGCGCTGGTGGTAGATGCCGAAGAAGATGAGGATGTTGAGCAGGAGCAGGAAGCAGCCGACGGCGATGGTCACGGAGAGCGCTGTCGTGTAGCTCTGGTAGTGGCTGCTGGCGAACTTGCGCAGCAGGTTGTTGTTGTTGTTCGGCCGGAGGGTCTCGCTGACGGCGCCGGGACCAGCCGCGGCCGCGGCGGCCGCCGCCGCCGCTGCCGCCGCCGCCCCCAGGGCCGTCCCGTTGGGCGGGCACTCCGTCGTGACGGGGGCGGCGGCCGCGGGCGTGTTGGCGACCGAGGGCGCCGCCGAGGACGGCGCCTCCATCGGCGTGGTGCTGGGCGGCGGCGGCGGCGGCACCTGCGCCGCCGGCCTCTGGAAGGTCTGTGGCCGCACGGAGCCTGCAACACGACAAGCAGCAGCGCGTGAGGGGGAGGGAGCTCCGCTGCACATCCACACGACGCGTCTCTCAATGACAAAAGTTGTGGCCCCAACCCGTTCCCACCCCGTTCCCGCCCCGTCCCCTACCCGCAGCCCCACCCCTTCCCCGGCTCAACTTGCACGGTTCTGGTTCTGGCAGCCTGTGCTCTGCACTTGCCACACTGCTGCTGCTGCTGCAACTATCTCATGCAAATTCAGTCCCCCCCCCCCTCTCTCTCTCTCTCTCTCTCTTCCCACCCGACTCCCTCACTGCTGTGTGGAGCACTTTGTGGCGGATATTTGGCATGTTGCGGGAGGGAGGGGTTAGGTTAGGCGAGCGCGAGGTCTCGCGGTGGCGGGGCGAAAGACTGGCGACGACGACGACGGGGTTGGTGCTTATTAAGGGGAGGGGGGAACTGCAGGTGGAGAGAAAGATGGGCGCGAGAGAGAGGGAGAGAGAGAGAGAGATGCGGGAGCTGGGGGAGGCGGGAGTGGGGTAGAGAGATTCTTTGCCGGGTGACACTTTGAGCAGCCCGGGGCAACTTTACCCAGGCGGCGGTGGCGGCGGCGGCAGCGGTCTCTTCCGAACACCCTCCAGCCACACTCTCCCCCCTCCCCCCCGCGCGATGCAAAATGCATGAAACTTTGATAGGCGAAGATTTCCTCTTCCTTCTTCCGTGTGCGCGCCTCTTCGGGAGACACCGCGCCGCGCGCCGAACTCCACCACCACCACCACCACCAGGACCACGGGCAGGCAAGGCCGCCGCCGGCCAGCAGCCAGGTCACTGGCAGCAAATTCTATGTAAACGCACGGCCACTGTTTGATTATCATTTTTATGAATAAAACATGCCTGGTGGGGACACTTATCGCGGGGGTAGGGGGGGGATGGGGGGTAGGGGGGGATGCGCCTTTGCAGCACCATAGAAGCGCGCCGCGGCGCTCGCGCGCCAAAAATTCGGACTTTACTGCAATCATGCCATAAAGGGCGACAGACGAATGTGAGCCGGCCCCGCCCCGCCAACCCCCGCCTGCCAGCTCTGTGAAAAAAATAGTTTTGAAAAATTTGTCTAATGTTTCGTAACTTGCGATTTCGGATGCGATCGTCGTGACTCTTACTAGAAAATTTTCTTGGAGCCTACTAAGAGTTTTGTGCTGTTGTGTATTATCAAACAGTTAACAGTTCGTAAGACTTAACTTTATCCTGGTATTACTCAACATTTTCCTGGTTTTACTAAACCCTTTCCTGGTAGTACTAAACCTTTTCCTGGTACTTCTTCACGTTACACTGGTATCACTCAACCTTTTCCTGGTGGTTACTAACCGTCATAGTACTGCGCGCCCTCCTCCTGGAAGTGGTGGTGCCTCATGTTGAGCTCGTCGAGGCCCGGCCGGTGCAGCTGCGGCAGCAGGTTCAGCCACAGCGACATCTTGTGGCCCCGGTAGTGGCTCTCCGTCTTGGCCGTCGTGCCTAATATGGGGAACAAACAGAGAAAAACAACATCGTGATTTACTATTTCAACGGGACCAAAAGATATTGCATTGGAAAGGTTGGTTTAATTTTTTCCCCCCGCCCTTTTCCCTCTAACTACATCTCGCCGCAGTATTTTCCCTGCTGCTGCCGCCCTCGGCCCCTCTGGCCCCCTTAAACAACACGCTTTGAACGGTCCCCGTCGGCGCCCCTTTTCCCCTCCTCTCCCTCTTCCTACCCCCTCCCCCACCTCACCTCTTTACCGATGTTCCAGGCGCAGGTGATATTAGCGCCATAAAGAGCCACCTCTCCCTCAGCAATAGGGTTTGTGGGTGGGGGGTAGGGCGCGGCGAGGTGGGGCGTGGCGGGGTGTGTTGGTGTATTCAATCGTGGCCAGGTCGAGGTTCTCTGGGAAAATAAAATTAATCGGAAAGCCAGCAGTGGG